AGTCTCATCCTTCTTCCCACACCCACTCCCACCCACACACACCCACACACCCACCCACCCACACACACACACCCTCACACCCCCACACACAATACATATGAATCATACATCGTTTTAAGACGAGGTTTGATAAAGCTCATGGAGCAGGGAGAGAGAGGACCTAGTAGAGATCAGTGAAGAGGCGGGGCCAGGAGCTATGAATCGACCCTTGCAACCAGAAATAGATGAGTACACACACAGTGTTCATGCAGTCATCAAGACGGACATATGGCGCCACCCGTCCCGTTATATCTATCAAGGTGGAACAACGTGAACGTGTAAGTGTGGAACACACGGCAAGCACGTACTAACTCTTCTAATTAAACCACGTCTCAGTTATTGCAGCAATAGCAATGTTTCCTGCTCATGCAACAACGCTCAACTCGTGTCTAGCGCTACGTTTCTGCCTATAATGATCAAGATTTAATTCTCTATCTTCTCCCTAGTCACCCTTGCCTCTACATTATTATTATTATTATTATTATTATTATTATTAGTAGTAGTAGTAGTAGTAGTAGTAGTAGGAGTAGTAGTAGTAGTAGTAGTAGCAGTAGTAGTAGTAGTAGTAGTATTAGTAGCAGTAGCAGTAGTAGTAGTAGTAGTAGTAGTAGTAGTAGTAGTAGGTTTTACTTTTTTAATAACTACTATTGCCAGAATCTATAATATAATCCTTTCATCTCCCACACACACTCCTACCTTAATTTTTTTAGTTTCCTTCACCCTATCTTTCGATATATACAAGTAATGTGAAAGAACTGCCGACAAAACTTACGTAGACAAACATGCAACTAAAGTGGCATTTTATTGTGGCAACGTTTCGCTCATCAGTTACCTAACACACATAAGTAAGGTTGCTGCCTGGCCCTAGATAAGTGCACCAATCCACATATGTTATTCCTGCCATTGAATAGATTCCGGCTGTCAATGAATGGTGGCGCTGTTTCCTATAATGTTTAAAGTGGTGGAATGGTAAGCCAGTGGAAGGTCTCCGTCAGATGACCAAAAGCTCCAGCTGTGGGGTCATCATATGACTAGGACCAGCGTCAGGAAACACTTGTCCTATTTCCTGACAAACCTTTCCTAACCTACCTCGCAGTACCTGTCTAACAAGCAATGAATACCAAGTATTCTAGACTAGGGACCCCCAACCTTCGGCCCGAGGGCCGCACGTGGCCCCTCTGCGGAAACGGATGCGGCCCTCACATGAAATGGTAAACTCACTTTGATGTAGGTTCCACAATGCACAATGTCAACAATTACAAAGTATTTAAAGCCATTTTACACCAAAACTTAATTATCACCTTATTATCAACCTTCCACTTGTGGTGCGCACTATTTATATCTATATACCTGGCAACTGCGACCCTTTAACTCTGCCTTAAAAAAAAAACCATACCACGGGCGGGATTTGAACACGCGGTCAGAGAGTCCCAGTGGCTAACGCGACGGTCTGGAGTTTTGAGACTCTCAGACCGCGGGTTCAAATCCCGCCCGTGGTATGGTTTGTTTGCAATCGTGTCATTACGATTTCGTGAGTCATTCTGCCTTTAAAAACTGGCTCCACTAAAAGGCTGGTGACTATTGGTTCAGAGTCTCCAGACAATCACTCTCTTTGGTAGTACTATATGTGGGCCAGCGGGCCGCTAACAGCAACATCCTGGTTGACAGGACAAGTACCAGACAAGCCTGGCCCAGGGCCGGGTTGCCAGTTGGAAAAACTTTTCAAACCTTTCAAAAATATAAATCAGGGAACGGGTGGGATTCGAACCAATGGCGATTTCTAAAACTCACAGGCCAGTGCACTCACCACTAGGACTGTGAGTTTTAAACGTTGTTATGGGTTCATAACCCCACCCGTTCCCGGGAGCTCCAATATATATTAAAGGTAAAGGTATGACAGGGATCCTTGCCTTCTTCCTAATTAAACCAGCAACAGCCTGCTTGATCAGTTCTTGATCCACCAGGAGACCTGGTCTGTTGTACATGTGTGATACACAATACCGACAACATAAAGTATTAGAGACACGTACAACATCTGGGTATCTTTATTGCAGACGTTTCGCCCTCCAGTGACTATCACTACAAATTCAATGACATAATGTGAAGACTGTAGAAGTATATACAAAAGATGAGGTAATCAGTCCCTCAGTCTTGGAGCTGGTGAAGATCACCGTAGTCTTCAAGACTCCGTAAGCACAAGCAGTAAGACTCCTTCAGATTCTTCAAGACAACGGTGATCTTACGGTATTGAGGGACTGATTATCTCATCTTCTGTATAGAGTTCTACAGTCTTCACATTATATCCTTGTATTGTATTGATAAAGTCACTGGAGGGCGAAACGTCTACAAATGAAGATACCCAGATGTTGTACGTGTGTCTCATTCTTCAGCTTCAGACCTGGTCAAAGATGGGTCAGCGGGAGCATCGACTCCTGCAGGTAATCCCTCACGCACACACACACACACACACACACACAAACACACACACACACACACACACACACACACACACACACACACGCACACACACGCACGCACACACACACACACACACACACACACACACACACACACACACACACACACACACCCATCACTGAAGCAGCAACATTCAACACAGTCTTATGTACTGTGTTTCAGGTTCCAGGAAACAGGACAAGTGTTTCCTGATGCGGGTCTCAGTTGACGAACCACACCTGGAAGTTTTGGTCATCTGACCGAGGCCTTCCACTGGCTTACCACTCCACCCCATTAACATTATAGTTACGATTATAACCATTAGGAATTACATATACGTGTTTGAGTATGTCTGACACCTCCTCCCCCCCCAAAAAAAAAAGCCAATGTGAACATACTCGTAGATGAACACAAATTTTAAAAAATAAATATTGGTACTCTGGGTAAAGTTGTACCACCAAACTTACCCGGGAAACCTGTTGGTATTTCCTACTGCAGCCACTGGGAAATATTGCCTCTTTCTGAACGTAATTTCGTCTTTTTAAATGTAATTACTGAAAGACGTAAGTCTTTCTAAATGTAATTACGCCTTTCTAAATCTGAAGTTATCCAAGTTGAATCCATTATATTAATGGTATACAATAGACAAGTTGACCCACAACTTGTGTCTATTTTGAAGGTTCCACTAATACTGTGTATTGTAGATAAATGGTTCAGAGAACCGACAAGTTGATAAATTAGACACATGTGCAACACTTGGGTATCTTTAATGAGGAAACGTTTCGCCCACACAGTGACTTCATCAGTCCATACAAAGGAGAATCGCGAAGAACAGAATTAGTGGGAACTTTTAAAAACTTATTAAGCACAGCATACCGTAAGTTGTGTCCGTGATGCTATACACTGTACGGTCCTCCACAGCACAACACTGTCAACCATACCACGGGCGGGATTGAACCCGCGGTCAGAGAGTCTCAAAACTCCAGCCCGTCGCGTTAGCCACTAGACCAGCTAGCCACAATAAGATTCATCCAACTAGGTATATTTCTACACCATAGGAAAGTTAGCACAGGCACCTCTGTGACCACAAATGCAAGTTTTTACAGACGAATCTCCAGCTAGCGTGGCCGTGACGAACTCTAGCTCAAGTCCCCTCACTGCCGTCAACATGTGGCTAGCTGGTCTAGTGGCTAACGCGACGGGCTGGAGTTTTGAGACTCTATGACCGCGGGTTCAATCCCGGCCGGGGGTATGGTTTATTTGCAATCGTGTCATTACGATTTCTTGAGTCATAATTAGTATCAAATTAAAACGTCATAATAATAAACCATATCTTTACAGTAAAACTTTCTCAACAAATAAAAAAAAAACAGAAGTAAAATGATCTTAGAGAGTTTAAGTTAATATGTCACCAGAAGTTATAAAACAATTTTAAAACTTCTAAATGCCCTATAAACCCAGTGGTTTTTCTTTCTATATTATAGGATATACCTGGAGAGGATTTCGGGGGTCAAGGCCCCCGCGGCTCGGTCTGAGACCAGGCCTCATGGTGGATCAGGGTGTGATCAACCAGGCTGTTACTGCTGGACACGCCCCCCCCCCGTTACTGCAACATATTCAAGGTAATATTGCAAATCTCGTTAAACTTTGCATCGCTAATGGTATACCTTTACCTTTGATATACCTTTGAAGAGTTTCGAGAGTTTATCTACACTCTGAGCCCGGCCATGGGCCAGGCTCGTCTGGTGCTTGCCTGGTCAACAAGGCTGTTGCTGCTGGAGGCCCGCTGCCCCACATATCCATCACAGCCTGGATGATCTGGCACCGTGGACATGTTGAAGGCATCATTCATTAAAATTACAATATAATTACTGCCCAAAAAAATGCAATTTGGCCTGGGGTGTGAGAGAGGCCTATAAATCCTTCCAGGAGTTGATATATCAGTAGAATGGATTTTATATTG